ACCTGAGGAGGATGTTTCCTCTCATCAGGAGGTTGTGGATGTTTGCAGCTCGTCAGAAACCACAACAGAGGAATCCCGGATTTGCAACATAGTAAAAAACCATCGGGAACTGGGTCAGATGAATGTGTTTGAGGATGAACAATTGTTGCAAGGACCTGAAACAGAAGTTGAGGCACCTGAGATGTCTTCATATATAACGTTGACATAGCTGCTCCGATTGACCAGGAATTCTCACCTGAAATTCTCCTGGAACCTGCGCTAACAGAGGAAGGCAATGACCTAATCATCAACCAGGAGGCTACATTGGAGAGAACAATCCTCAAGCAAACATTAATTATTTACCTGATGACATCCTTCCATTTTGGCCCACATGGGAGTGATCACAGAGAACAATGGTACTTTGGCTTGGGCTGAAGCAACTACAAATGAAGAGAGACCGACTTCACCCGTAGAAGACCAGACCAGAGACGAGTCAGTGTCAGTGGTAGCAAACAAACACAAGGACCAGGGGGAGCTCAGTCCAATAGATCCTCCTTGTCCAGAAGAAACCAGTGGCTGCACAGTTGAGGAAATCACTGAGGCAACCAACGAATCTTCTGAAACTTTTTTTGAGGAGAAATCTGAGCACTTGATCTTAGACGAACCAGAGGAAGAGAGAGAGGTCAGTGTATTAGACCCACCTCGCCCAGAAGAAATCAGTATCCCCAAAGACGAAGAAAGCTTGGAGTCCTTTGAGGAAATTTTTGAGAATCTCATCCCAGACAGACCCGTGGACTTGGATAAACCGTGTCAAGAAGAAGACAAAATATCCATCATCCAAGAAAGCAAGAAGTCTGCAAAGAAAACCACAACTCTCACCATAATCACAACCATGAGATCAAACCCAAACCCTGAAACATGTATTAAGTCTTTTGAGGAAACATGTGATAACTTGACCTCAGACGGACCTGAGGGCCTGGATCCAGTAGATAAACTTTGTCAAGAAGAAGACGACATCTCCACAGAAGAAGAAAGCTTGGAGTCTGCAAACATAGCCCCTAAAACTGAGGCTTGTAAGTCCACGGCTCGTAAAACTGCTCACTACCTGACACGCTCCTTTGTCAGAAAACTATTTGAAATGGATGGAGAAGAGGACGACATACGTGCTCGCACACTCATGACCATTGAGCTGCAGAGGAAGGTCGAGAAGAGCATTAAAATCGACTACAACCAAAGTCAATTTAAACCTGAACAGTTGGAGAAGATTGGAAAGAAAGTTGCCAAAAGTCTGAGAGTTACAAACGGCTCCTTTGAGGAGTTGGTGCCCGATGTATTGGAACAGTTCAACACTGAGCTGAGAACTCTCCAAAACCGGCCTAAGTCTGGCCTGGCTCGGTTCTTCTCCAGGGTGAGAAAGGCCTTCACTTTTTAAAAAATCTACCAATCCAAGAAGCACATTCATCCATGGACCAGGTGACGAACCACCACCAGGCAAATTTAAAAAGTGTGAAATTACTTTTTTGGACAGGTGTTAATAAGACACCAATAGCCCATACAAAATCCCCAAAAAGACTACATAGATTTAAGGTCACTTCCACATCAACAAAAAGATTCAAAAGATCTCTATATCACAGGCAACAGCAAAATTTGGCCGACCTTCGAAATCAAAAATTACAAAAACCGGTAGATTCGGTGCATTTGCCTGTCATGATGCTAAAAATAACAGCTCGCACATATTGGGCCTGGTCTCCTCGTGTGAGGCCTGGGCACCGCCTTGATGGGAGACCTGATTTCCCACCGGGTGCTACAGTGGGGCGGCTGTAAACTCGTCGTTTTGTCCTTGGGCAAGGCACTTCACCCACTTTGGCTTGTGTGAATGTTATGCGTGTGTGAATGGCAGGTGGTGGTAGGAGGGGCCTCTTTGGCAGCCTCACTTGCAGCAGATTGCCCCAGGGCAGCTGTGGCTAGCAGCTCACCACCACCGCGTATGGAATGAATGATTAGTGTGGCGAAATGCATGAAGGATAGGAGGTAGAAGTAGCACTTTGGTGTCATGACCAGCACTTTATAAATGCAACAGAATTGCTACCATGGCTACAAAATGTGTTTTCTTTCCATTGAAAGGATCTGGCTCCAGAGGCTTGAGTTTGATCTTTGGTCGCCGTTGATCTTTCGATGTTTGGATGAAACAGGAATAGACTTTAAACAGAAGTGGAAGTCGTCTTGAAAATGGTCTACAATAGACCCCCCCACCCCACCCCACCCCCACTGCAATACAAAAAAATGAATAAAAATAAATAATAACATCTAACTTGTGGTTTGTGCTATATTTGAAAGTCAACCAACACAAAATGAGTGTGTGTCTGGATAAAGAACCGATTGTGATGCAGTTTATTTGTGATTTAAAACCAAGAGATTCCATAGAAAGATACAACTTTGGAAAATGTTGTGATGTCAAAGTGTGAAAAATCATGTCTAAAGATAGAACATCTCCAAAGACAAAGTCAAGGTTATTTTTGTAATTTGACTTTGTTTCATCTGCTCATGTTTGATGTTATCAGATGATGTGTGTGCTTCTGGGTGCAGGTAATTTCCCTCGTGGATGAATAAGGTTTGTCTAAGTGTAAGTTTGTGAGGTCTGCTCACAGCAAGAACTCATTTGTGTTTTCTCAGAGCGACGTTGGATTGATTCAAGGTAAATCTTTAACTCAAACAAAAGAAATATGCAGTCATTTCTCACAAAGTTGTTCATATGTAGCTCCTGTCCAGATCTAAAGTCTCTGGGAACCTATTCAGTCCTGGATCTACAGCCTCAATCCTGGATCTACAGCCTCAGTCCTGGATCTACATCCTTAGTCCTGGATCTACAGCCTCAGTCCTGGGTCCACAAAATCAGTCCTGGGTCTATAGCCTCATATCTGGATCTACAGCCTCAGTCCTGGATCTACAGCCTCAGTCCTGGATCTACAGCCTCAGTCCTGGATCTACATCCTTAGTCCTGGATCTACAGCCTCAGTCCTGGGTCCACACAATCAGTCCTGGGTCTATAGCCTCATATCTGGATCTACAGCCTCAGTCCTGGGTCCACAAAATCAGTCCTGGGTCTAGAGCCTCAGATCTGGATCTACAGCCTCAGTCATGGATCTACAGCCTCTTCAGTCCTGGGTCTACAGCCTCAGTCCTGGGTCTACAGCCCCTGTAGACCCCAAGACAGATGTTAGAGAACAAATATTGGCAGCTGACAGCACTGACTTATGCTGCTTTCACACCGGATCATGTGTTGAAATGCATATGCGTCTCGGAATGCAGGCACGGACTGCGCGGCAAAGGCGCGGCAGAGGCGCAGGAGCGGAAAATCGATGCACCTAGGAGATGGATTTCCCTGAACCTCTTCCGCCGGACGGTGGTGCAGCAACCAATCACAGAGCACGCACACCGCTGACGTGATCACACCATGTACACACCATATATACCCCGGGAAGGACCCGGAACTGGCCTTTTTCGAAATGGAAGATAACGTAATAGACAATCTGATCGTGGCCGTAACTAACTTTCCAAAGCTGTGGAAAGTTAGCATTTCGGAATACAGCGACAGGCTGAAAAATGAGCTTGCATGGAAGTCCATTTCGGACGAGCTCAACCTCCCTGGTAAGTTATTTTAAAGTAGCATTTATTTAGAAATTGGTTCTTGTTTATGCTAGTTATACGAGGGGAATTGAAGCGCGTTTTCTGACTAGTGTCTGATTCGTTACAGTTGAATTTTGCAAGAAGAGGTGGAGGTCACTGCGAGATACTTACATGAAGAGAAGGAAAGAGGTGCAGAGGAGTGGCTCTGCTGCAGGTCAGGGGACAAAATGGAGGTACGGCAGTGCCCTGACCTTCCATGACCCAACCATAACCCCGGGCCCCACCACCAGCAACATGGTGAGTAGGGTGGTGGAAGGGCCGGCTCTTGTTGGAGAAGAGGCTTCTGCACTGCTTGAAGGTTTGTACTGGGTTGAAATGGGGGCATCTGACTATTATGACGTCATGCTATCAATGGCCATATCTGCAATGTTTACTAAAATGACTGATGATATACTTTTCTGTCTGAAAAAGCTGAACTTAAGCTGCCTGTGACAGGGGCCAAAATCCATGCATGGGGAAAGTAATTATAGAACCAAACTGTTTTGAGAGAAAGGAACTGTTTATTTGAGTGAAGAAGACATCACCACAGAAGAAAGCTTGGAGTCTCCAAACATAGCCCCTAAAACTGAGGCTTGTAAGTCTACGGCTTGTAAAAGTGCCCACTACCTGACACGCTCCTTTGTCAGAAAATTATTTGAAATGGATGGAGAAGAGGACGACATACGCGCTTGCACACTCATGATCATTAAGCTGCAGAGGAAGGTCGAGAAGAGCATTAATATCGACTACAACCAAAGTCATTTTAAACCTAAACAGTTGGAGAAGATTGGAAAGAAATTCGCCAAAAGTCTGAAAGTCTGGAGTTTGAATGTTCTCCCCGTGTCTGCGAAGGTTTCCTCCGGGTGCTTCGGTTTAAAAACATGTACAATAGGTCTGGCATGCACCCCCTGTACTGGCGACCCCGCTCCCATCTCTGTGTGGAGTGAGAGACAAATGCCCAAAAATAACATTTGTAAACCGCTTTGTGACTCTGGTCCGTGAAAGATAAATAAAGATTTCTTACTTATTTACTTATTTATTGGTTATGAGTGACTAACAAAAAACTATATGCATGCTTGTATGCAACTATATTCATGCTTGTATAAAGGGCAGTAATTACAACAGGGGCCAATGGTAGGCTTTCGTTTCCACGGCAACATGATTCATTCCGGAATCCCGAAAACCCCTTTATGACATCATCGAACAAATCAGGCCTTTAGTCTGTGTGTATGAGGCCAACGATCAGTATTCAGATACACGTTTTGAGAAGAGACAAGTTGAAACACAGTTGCATTAGTAACTTCAACATAACAAACTCAGTATTGTTTAAGATGGCAGTGACAAGCGAGCACAGCATGCTTTGGAGGGAGAAGATCGACGTTGGCTACAAAAACGAGATCTGTGAGGTGTTGGAGCTAGCTTCACAAAATTATCTCGAGGCTAAGTTCAGTGACGGAGTGAGAGAAGGCCCAATCCACAACGCAATCTTCAACGTCATTCTAACATGTGGGGAGTTCAAGGGACAAGGCAAAGGGCCCACCAAAAATGCTGCCAAACTACAAGCAGCACAGCAGATTCTCCCAGATCTGCGACTTCTTCCTCGTGACGAGAATCCCAACAAAAAGAGGAAGAAGAAACGTGGGCCACTTTCAAAGCCAGAGAGGCCAGTGGAGACTCTGAATGAACTGGTGATGAACCTGAGAGGAAAACCCGAAGAGTACACCTTAGTGGATGTCAACAAAGACTCCTATCCTTGGATCCTCTCAAGAAACTCCAGGTGGCAGGAGAGACTGTGGTGGCGCGCGGAAAAAACAAGAAAGATGCCAAAAGGAACGCAGCGGCCAAAATGCTCAATATCTTTGGATACAGCTGCAGCGTTTCTGAGCCGGAGCTGGAAGCAGTAGAAGAAGTTGCTCAAGAAATCCCCATTCAGGAAGAAGTAGAGATCCAGCCACCTGTGGAAGAGATGGGGCCAGTTCTGCCCATCGTGGCTGCGACGGAGGAGATAGAAGTGAAAAATGAGGTGTTCCAGTTGTGTGCAACATCCCAACAGCCAGACAACCAAGCACTGTCTGTAACTGTTGAGGACGGGGCTGACGTTAGCGAAAACATCAAACCTGAGGAGGATGTTTCCTCTCATCAGGAGGTTGTGGATGTTTGCAGCTCGTCAGAAACCACAACAGAGGAATCCCGGATTTGCAACATAGTAAAAAACCATCGGGAACTGGGTCAGATGAATGTGTTTGAGGATGAACAATTGTTGCAAGGACCTGAAACAGAAGTTGAGGCACCTGAGATGTCTTCATATAACGTTGACATAGCTGCTCCGATTGACCAGGAATTCTCACCTGAAATTCTTCTGGAACCTGCGCTAACAGAGGAAGGCAATGACCTAATCATCAACCAGGAGGCTACATTGGATGAGAACAATCCTCAAGCAAACATTAATTATTTACCTGATGACATCCTCTCCATGTTGGCCCACATGGGAGTGATCACAGAGAACAATGGTACTTTGGCTTGGGCTGAAGCAACTACAAATGAAGAGAGACCGACTTCACCCGTAGAAGACCAGACCAGAGACGAGTCAGTGTCAGTGGTAGCAAACAAACACAAGGACCAGGGGGAGCTCAGTCCAATAGATCCTCCTTGTCCAGAAGAAACCAGTGGCTGCACAGTTGAGGAAATCACTGAGGCAACCAACGAATCTTCTGAAACTTCTTTTGAGGAGAAATCTGAGAACTTGATCTTAGACGAACCAGAGGAAGAGAGAGAGGTCAGTGTATTAGACCCACCTCGCCCAGAAGAAATCAGTATCCCCAAAGACAAAGAAAGCTTGGAGTCCTTTGAGGAAATGTTTGAGAATCTCATCCCAGACAGACCCGTGGACTTGGATAAACCGTGTCAAGAAGAAGACAAAATATCCATCATCCAAGAAAGCAAGAAGTCTGCAAAGAAAACCACAACTCTCACCATAATCACAACCATGAGATCAAACCCAAACCCTGAAACATGTATTAAGTCTTTTGAGGAAACATGTGATAACTTGACCTCAGACGGACCTGGGGCCTGGATCCAGTAGATAAACTTTGTCAAGAAGAAGACGACATCTCCACAGAAGAAGAAAGCTTGGAGTCTGCAAACATAGCCCCTAAAACTGAGGCTTGTAAGTCCACCGGCTCGTAAAACTGCTCACTACCTGACACGCTCCTTTGTCAGAAAACTATTTGAAATGGATGGAGAAGAGGACGACATACGTGCTCGCACACTCATGACCATTGAGCTGCAGAGGAAGGTCGAGAAGAGCATTAAAATCGACTACAACCAAAGTCAATTTAAACCTGAACAGTTGGAGAAGATTGGAAAGAAAGTTGCCAAAAGTCTGAGAGTTACAAACGGCTCCTTTGAGGAGTTGGTGCCCGATGTATTGGAACAGTTCAACACTGAGCTGAGAACTCTCCAAAACCGGCCTAAGTCTGGCCTGGCTCGGTTCTTCTCCAGGGTGAGAGAGGCCTTCACTTTTTAAAAAATCTACCAATCCAAGAAGCACATTCATCCATGGACCAGGTGACGAACCACCACCAGGCAAATTTAAAAAGTGTGAAATTACTTTTTTGGACAGGTGTTAATAAAACAACCAATAGCCCATACAAAATCCCCAAAAAGACTACATAGATTTAAGGTCACTTCCACTTCAACAAAAAGATTCAAAAGATCTCAATATCACAGGCAACAGCAAAATTTGGCCGACCTTCAAAATCAAAAATTACAAAAACCGGTAGATTCGGTGCATTTGCCTGTCATGATGCTAAAAATAACAGCTCGCACATATTGGGCCTGGTCTCCTCGTGTGAGGCCTGGGCACCGCCTTGATGGGAGACCTGATTTCCCACCGGGTGCTACAGTGGGGCGGCTGTAAACTCGTCGTTTTGTCCTTGGGCAAGGCACTTCACCCACTTTGCCTTGTGTGAATGTTGTGCGTGTGTGAATGGCAGGTGGTGGTAGGAGGGGCCTCTTTGGCAGCCTCACTTGCAGCAGATTGCCCCAGGGCAGCTGTGGCTAGTAGCTCACCACCACCGCGTATGGAATGAATGATTAGTGTGGCGAAATGCATGAAATAGTAGGTAGAAGTAGCACTTTGGTGTAGAAGTAGCACATTGGTGTCATGACCAGCACTTTATAAATGCAACAGAATCGCTACCAATGGCTACAAAATTAGTTTTCTTGCCATTGAAAGGATCTGGCTCCAGAGGCTTGAGTTTGATCTTTGGTCGCCGTTGATCTTGGGATGTTTGGATGAAACAGGAATAGACTTTAAACAGAAGTGGAAGTTGTTCTTGAAAATGGTCTACAATAGTCCATCCCCCCCCCCCCACCCCACCCCACCCCCACTGCAATACAAAAAAACTAAATAAAAATAAATAATAACATCTAACTTGTGGTTTGTGCTATATTTGAAAATCAACCAACACAAAATGAGTGTGTGTCTGGATAAATAACCGATTGTGATGTAGTTTATTTGTGATTTAAGACCAAGAGATTCCATAGAAAGATACAACTTTGGAAAATGTTGTGATGTCAAAAGTGTGGAAAAATCATGTCTAAAGATAGAATATCTCCAAAGACAAAGTCAAGGTTATTTTTGTAATTTTAACTTTGTTTCATCTGCTCATGTTTGATGTTATCAGATGATGTGTGTGCTTCTGGGTGCAGGTAATTTCCCTCGTGGATGAATAAGGTTTGTCTAAGTGTAAGTTTGTAAGGTCTGCTCACAGCAAGAACTCATTTGTGTTTTTTCAGAGCGACTTTGGATTGATTCATGGTAAATCTTTAACTCAAACAAAATAAATATACAGTCCTTTCTCACAAAGGCGGCACGGTGGCTGAGTGCTTAGCACTCTTGCTTCTCAGCAAGAAGGTCCTGGGTTTGAATCCCGGTCGGACCAGGGCCTTTCTGATTGGAGTTTGCATGTTCTCCCCGTGTCTGCGTAGGTTTCCTCCGGGCACTCCGGAGGAAACCGGAGTGCCCACTAAAAATATGTACAATAGGTCTTTCATGCGCCTCCTGTACTTGCGACCCCGCTCCCATCTCTGTGTGGAGTGAGAGGACAAATGCCCAAAAATAACAATTGTAAACCACTTTGTGACTATGGTCTGTGAAAGGCGGTATATAAATAAAGATTACTTACTTACTTACTTACTTACTTACTTGCAAAGTAGCTCATATGTAGCTCCTGTCCAGATCTAAAGTCTCTGGGAACCTCTTCAGTCCTGGATCTACAGCCTCAGTCCTGGGTCTACAGCCTCTTCAGCCTGGATCTACAGCCCCTGTAGACCCCAAGACAGATGTTAGAGAACAAATTTTGACAGCTGACCGCACTGACTTATGCTGCTTTCACACCGGATCATGCGTCAAAATGCATGTGAGTCTCAGAATGCACGCACGGACTGCGCGGCAAAGGCGCGGCAGAGGCGCAGGAGCGGAAAATCGACACACGCAGGAGATACATTTTCCTGAACCTCTTCCGCCGGACGGTGGTGGAGCAACCAATCACAGAGCACGCACACCGCTGACGTGATCACGCCATGTACATACCATATATACCCCGGGAAGGACCCGGAACTGGCCTTTTTCGAAATGGAAGATAACGTAGTAGACAATCTGATCGTGGCTGTAACTAACTTTCCAAAGCTGTGGAAAGTTAGCATTCTGGAACACAGCGACAGGCTGAAAAATGGGCTTGCATGGAAGGCCATTGCGGATGAGCTCAACCTCCCTGTTAAGTTATTTAAGAGTAGCATTTATTCAGAAATTTGTTCTTGTTTATGCTAGTTATACGAGGGGAATTGAAGCGTGTTTTCTGACTAGTGTCTGATTCGTCGCAGTCGAATTTTGCAAGAAGAGGTGGAGGTCACTGCGCTATACTTACATGAAGAGAAGGAAAGAGGTGCAGAGGAGTGGCTCTGCTGCAGGTCAGGGGACAAAATGGAGGTACGGCAGTGCCCTGGCCTTCCATGACCCGACCATAACCCTGGAACCCACCACCAGCAACATAGCGAGTACGGTGGTAGAAGGGCCGGCTCTTGTTGGAGAAGAGACTTCGGCACTGCTTGAAGGTTTTTACTGGGTTGAAATGGGGGCATCTGTCCATCCATCCATCCATTTTGTTCCGCTTCATCCGTTGCCGGGTCGCGGGGGCAGCAGTCTAAGCAGAGACACCCAGACTTCCCTATCCGCACACACTTCCTCCAGCTCGTCCGGGGGGACCCCAAGGCGTTCCCAGGCAAGCTGAGAGACATAGTCCGTCCAGCGTGTCCTGGGTCTTCCCCGGGGCCTCCTCCCGGTGGGACGTGCCCGGAACACCTCCCCAGGGAGGCGTCCAAGAGGCATCCGGAACAGATGCCCGAGCCACCTCAACTGGTTCCTCTCGACGTGGAGAAGCAGCGGCTCTACTCCGAGCTCCTCCCGTGTGACTGAGCTCCTAACTTTATCCCTAAGGGAGCGCCCAGCCACTCTGCGGAGGAAGCTCATTTTGACCGCTTGTATCCGCAATCTCGTTCTTTCGGTCATTACCCAAAGCTCATGACCATAGGTGAGGGAGGGAACGAAGATTGACCGGTAAATCGAGAGCTTTGCCTTTCGGCTCAGCTCCCTCTTTACCACAACGGTCCGATACAGCGACCGCATCACTGCACACGCTGCACCGATCCGCCTGTCAATCTCACGCTCCATCCGTCCCTCACTCGTGAACAAGACCCCGAGATACTCCTCCACTTGAGGAAGGACTTCCCCACCCACCTGGAGAGGGCAGAGCACCTTTTTCCGGTCGAGCACCATGGCCTCGGATTTGGAGGTGCTGATTCTCATCCCAGCCGCTTCGCACTCGGCTGCAAACCGTCCCAGTGCATGTTGCAGGTCCTGGCTTGTTGGCGCCAACAGGACAACATCATCCGCAAAAAGCAGGGATGAAATCTTTAGGCCCCCGAACCGGACCCCCTCCGGCCCCTGGCTGCGCCTAGAAATTTTGTCCATAAACACAGTGAACAGAACTGGTGACAAAGGGCAGCCCTGGCGGAGGCCAACATGCACCGGGAACAGGTCTGACTTACTGCCGGCAATGCGAACACAGCTCTGGCTCCGGTCATACAGGGACCGGACGGCCCTGTATGACCGGAGGGCCTCCCGGACCCCGTACTCCCGGAGAACCCCCCAAAGGACACCCCGGGGAACACGGTCGAACGCCTTCTCCAAATCCCTCTGCCAGGGAGATAGAAGTATCCGCCCCAACATCCTCAGCCTCTGCCTCCGGGACGGAGGGGATTGAGGGGGATTGAGGAGAACCTCGAAGTATTCCTTCCACCGCCCGACAATATCCCCAGTTGAGGTCAGCAGCTCTCCACCCGCACCGTACACGGTGTTGGCAAAGCACTGCTTCCCCCTCCTGAGGCGCCGGACGGTTTGCCAGAATCTCTTCGAAGCCGACCGATAGTCATGCTCCATGGACTCTCCGAACTCCTCCCAGTCCCGGGTTTGGCCTGCCGGTACTGGACAGCTGCCTCAGGAGTCCCACGAACCATCATGGCTCGATAGGACTCCTTCTTCAGCCTGACGGCATCCCTTACTGCCGGTGTCCACCACCGGGTTCGGGGGTTGCGGCCGGGACCAGCACCAGAGACCTTGTGACCACAGCTACGGGCCGCCGCATCGGCGATAGAGGAAGAGAACATGCTCCACTCGGACTCAATGTCCCCCTCCTCCGCCGGGAAGAAGCTCCCCCGGAGGTGTGAGTTGAAAGTCCGTCACAGGCACAGGGGGCTCAGCGAGACGTTCCCAGCAGACCCTCACTACACGCTTGGGTCTGCCAGGTCTGACCGGCTTCCTCCCCTGCCAGCGGATCCAACTCACGACCAGGTGGTGATCGGTTGACAGCTCCGCCCCTCTCTTCACCCGAGTGTCCGAGACACGCGGTCAAAGGTCAGATGATACGACAACAAAGTTGATCATGCACTGTCAAGTATACCTCCCAAGGACTCCAAGAAGGCCGGGTACTCTGCACTGTCGTTAGGCCCGTAGGCCGTCACAACAGTGAGAGACTTGTCCCCCACCCGGAGACGGAGGGACGCGACCCTCTCATTCACCGGGGAGAACTCCAAGACGTGGCGGCCGAGATGGGGGGCAATGAGAATGGCCACCCCAGCTCGGCGCCTCTCCCCGCGGGAAACACCAGAAAAGTGGAGCGTCCAACCCCTCTCAAGGAGTTGGGTTCCAGAGCCCAAGCTGTGTGTGGAGGTGAGGCCGACTATCTCTAGTCGGTATCGCTCAACCTCCCTCACGAGCTCGGGCTCCTTCCCCCCCAGTGAGGTGACGTTCCACGTCCCTAGAGCCAGATGTTGTGTGTGTCTGACTCGTCACCTGAGACCTGTCTGCCATGGGAGACCCTACCAGGGGCATGAAGCCCCAGACAGCATAGCTCCCAGGATCATCTGAGTACTCAAACTCCCCCACCACGTTAAGGTGGCAGTCCAGGGGGGAATATTTACTAAAATGACTATGCATTTGCAGAAGACATGAGTGTGACATCTCCCGAGCCGGGGACGTCATTCACAAGTGGCTGCAGAGTCCTGTTGCTGCCTCTGCCTGCCACTCAAGGCTAGCCCTCCGGAAACACCTCCAGGTGAGCATCACAAATCATTTACTTGGTTACCTACTTCATGTCTGCTACCAGTTATAGCTCTTGTCCGTAGTATGTTATTTTTAAACATGTATTTTCTCCTCTTCAACAACAAGAGGACCAGGAAGAGGACCAGGAAGGCCGATCCTCCAGTCTCCGATTATGAGCGAGAGCTGCTCTCCGCTCTCCAGCAGAGCTGTCTGTCCTCATCTCAGAGGATGTCGGAGGAAGAACTCTTTTCGGCTAGTGTGGACCCTCTCTTGAAGAAATCAAAGCCCCATGAAAGAGACAGAGCCAAACATAAAATGTACAACACACTCTTTGAGTTCTTGGATAATAAAGAAAATTTGGAACCATCGTATGACCAGGGATAGCCATTTGACCAAACTTTATGAGAGGGAGTGTGTGCTCTAGATTTTATATTTGGAAATAATAAAAGTTTTGTGTGAATCTTACATATATTACTATAATCTTAAAAACATTCAGTTTTAAAAGTACCATGCATTAAAGAATAAATGAATAGATAGAAGATAATTTGTACTTCTTTGCCTCCTCCTTTACCGCACAGATAGAAATGGATGGTAGTCATATCAAACTTATTGACATTGTAGAATTCTCCACAGCTAAGGGCGAGGCCAGAGACTACAACACACATTTGATCATTGCCACTGCCAGGAGAGCTAAGGAGCTGTCCGCCCATGGATTTGCCCATTCTAGGGTAAGCCCCCCAGTACTCAAGGCTGGAGTGAGCGAGCAATAAAGCCAAGAAAGGCTAGGCCCGTAGATCGACCAACAGACCCGAGAAAAGCTGCCCGTAAGTGGAGTGCAACACTTAGGAAGAATAGGGACTCCCCGTATACTATCCCTACTAGGAAGTCAGGGGACTCCCATGGCCCAATCCCTACTAGAAGGCCAAGAGTCCACCATCAGGCTCCCGCTAGAAGGCCAAGGGATTCTGAACATCCCACCTCTGCTAGGAGACCAAGGGATTCTCCTTATCCCTTTCCCGCTAATAAATCTGGGGACTCCCCTCAACCCGTCCCCTCTAAAAGGTTCAGGTATAATTCAATAGACATGAGTGTTAACTTTGAAAGAGAGGTTTCAGTCGTCCTGCCAATGCCTAGGTTGAACAAGGAACCTAGGAACCTTCACTTTCAAGGTCCGGTGCCATCACCCCCACCACCGTCCCCTGAACTGAGCCCATCACCCTGGTGTGCTCCAATAGAAAATGATGTGTTCCTCTCTGATGCAGCTATGGCCCTACCCAAACCGGGCTATGGTCGTGACAACACCCGAGGCCATGGTCCTACCTGGACCCGAGGAACCAAGACTTGTGCGAGTCATTGATTATGATTACATATCCACATATGGTTATGAGGACTTTGTCAGGGAGTTCAACAAGCTCCTGGAAGAAGAGTACCAACCAGGAGCTATGCCGGAGCCTGAAGCTTGCCACGAGAACGAAGCGGCTCCTCAAGGATTCTGGGTGATGGACATTACTTAGTTCTCTTAAGTTTCAAAAGGAGGAAGTAATACAAAATATGATTCTGTGATGTAATAGTAAGCAAGATTTTATAATTATATGTGAAACGTAAGAAACAATTAAACAATGATTCTGACTGTCAGTCATGTGATTTAATGTGATTTATGTGACATTATGCTAACTGGGTTAAAGTTCATGTTGAGTGTGTTAAAGTTCATGCTTACTGTGCCAAAGGTCATTTAACTGTGTCAAGGTTCATACAATGGAAGGGCCATATATGTACTTCCTTCCTGCTATGACCATATATGTACTTCCTTCCTGTGACCATATATGTACTTCCTTCCTGTGACCATATATGTACTTCCTTGCTGCTATGACCAAATAATGGCTTCTTTCCCTGCCCATATATGTTCATGTACTTCCTGAATGAAGTTGTAACGGCTACATTGGTCCTTACCTTATTGTTCACTCAGGAGGGGTGAAATTCTCTATTTTACAACCAATTTTGTGTACCAGGTCTGTTTTGTTACGTACATTTTCACTTAGTATTATTGCTATTGCCCATTTATGGTGTCCTTGGGGAGACTGTTTAAGAGTGTCGGGCGCGGGGGTACGCATGGTCTGACGTCAGATGCCGACTTGGAGCAGGGCCAGCACCGTTACCTGGAGGACCCGTTTCCACGGATTATAATCCCTGGTGGAGTGATTTCGTTTTTTTGGATTATTGTGATTTTTGGGTTATCATGATTTGTGGGATCTAACGAGACTCTGTGGATTATCCCTCCGGAACGTTGTGCATGCGTGGGGCCGTGAGTACACAATACAATACAATTTATTCTTGTATAGCCCTGAATCACAACAGAAGTCATCTCAGAGGACTTAAAGTGATTGTCTGGAGTTTGTCAGAAAGAGAGACAGAGAGGTACTTGATTTGAAAAAAACGACGCAAGCTCCCTCCCCCTTCCTTTCTGATTGGTCTACACCTACGTTTCCGTAACACTTTGAAATGTTAATCAGAGAACATATTATACATATACATTATTAATACACATGCACAGAGGGTTTCAGAATTATTTGTGAACGTTTTAATGAAAAAAAATATGTTTTTATACACACAAAAAAGCGATTGCGGCAAACCAGGAAGTGCTATTATCATGAATTGCACATTATAGGACACATCTGCAGAGGATCTGATTATGGATATAGGTTCAGTATATACATAAGTACCTCAGCGTGGATGTTCAGAATTCTTTGTTCAGTTTTCATGTAGTTCCAGAGCCTAATAGAGGCTCCGCGAAAACAAACAACTGCGCATGCGCGCAGCTGCGAGCATCAGCGCCGTTGATTGACATCCCTTGGCATGACTCGATTGGTTAACCTCGACGGCACCGTGGATTCTGAACTATAGCTAAGAGCAGGGAAGACGGGACTTGCCCGTGATATTAGAATTAATAAAATCACTTATTTTATATCAACATATAAGGCCAGGAGGTCAATTTAACACATTTCCTAAAATTTGTAATTCATTTAGAGTTACAGACTATCACTTTAACAAAACCATTGAAATCACCAACACAGATCAGAGAATCAACAGTTAACGCACATAAAGAATATAGAACACATGTTTGAAAAATGTCCATACATGTTGTAGAATGTTAAAGTGTCCTGGATCATCACCACAGTCCTTCTAGTTGGACACTAACTGTCCAACAGACCCTCCTGCAAATGCAAGGAAAAACTTGTAAGAAAACCCAGTGGGAAAAAGTGAGAAACCTCGGGGAGACCCATGGTTTGAGAAAGGGATCCGCTCCTCCCGGACGGACAGGCTAGAGATCCAGGACGTAAGCTGCAGAACGTGGACCAGCGGCTGCTGAACGTGGACAGGTCCGGTGCAGGACTGAAGAACTCCCAGGCGGGTCGGGCAGGGCAGTCCGCAGATGTAGATGGAGGAGGCCAGGTCCAGAGGTCCCGTCATCGTACCATGGAACAGACAATGGGACAACGGGTGAATAGCAATGAACAAACTACAGTCAAAATCCTAATAATAGTAAACAGATAAAGTAGGGAGGAGAGGATAGTGCTCAAGTTACCATACTTCTCCCAGCAAACTGACTCCCTATGCAGCTTGACTGACAGTCTAAGGAGTTTAGCCTTCCCTGAGTCTTACCTTCCTAACCATATGCTAAACTAAAGAGGACAGTTTTAGCCTAGCCTAGAACGTAGGGCTGAAGATGCAGCGGACTAGGTTCCACATACGCAGACTCCAAGACCGGACGAAACCTGACCGGACAACAACCTAGCCAAATGCTGAGTTGAAAAAGAGCCTGGACTCAAATGTAGAGACAGTGCCTGCTTCCTTAACGTGCGTGGGGAGCTAATTCCACAGTAAAAGAGATTGGTAGCTAAATGCTCTGCCGCCGACAGTGCTTTTTGAAACCTTAGGGCCCACCAGACGTCTGGTGTTTTGCGAGCGCAGTGCTCGGCTTGGTCGATAAGATAAGATGTATTGGAGATAAGCGGGACCCAGGCCATTTATGGCTTTGTATCAATCAATCAATCAAAGTTTATTTGTAGAGCGCCTTTCATACACAGGGCAACACAAAGCGCTTCACAGTCCACATCACAAATCATCACATAAAACAAACACCAGAATCACAATTAAAACATTAAAATCACACAAAAGATTAAAACACAATTAAAACATTAAAATCACACAAAAGATTAAAACACAATTAAAACATTAAAATCACACAAAAGAATAAAACCATTAAAACTTTCAAAATTACACAAGAAATTAAAAAAAATAATAATAATAAATGACAGCAGTGCATTAGAAATGGAGATAAAATCCTTCAGTTGTATGCACAGGCAAACAGAACAGTCTTTAACCTGGATTTGAACATTGACAGAGTAGACGCCTCCCTCACATTTTCAGGGAGATTGTTCCAGATCTTAGCTGCATGGATCTGAAACGCAGCCTCCCCATGTTTGGTTCTCACTCTGGGCACCAGCAGGAGGCCAGTCCCTGTGCTCCTCAGAGTCCGGGCTGGTTCATATGACACCAACATGTCACTAATGTATTTTGGTGCAAGGCCATGGAGAGACTTGTACACAAGCAGAGCTGTTTTAAAATCTATTCTTTGAGCCACAGGAAGCCAGTGCAGAGACCTGAGGACCGGACTAATATGGTCATACTTCCTGGTTCCTGTCAGGACTCTAGCTGCTGCATTTTGGATGTACTGCAGCTGCTTACAGGTCTGTTTGGACAGACCTGTAAGCAGGCCATTGCAGTAGTCTAGCCTGCTGGAGACAAATGCATGGACAAGAATCTCCAAGTCTGCCCTGGACACTATATTTCTAACTTTGGCAATGTTCTTCAGATGGTAAAAAGCTGTTGATGTTATTGATTTTATGTGGCTATTGAAATTTAGGTCTGAGTCCAGTATTACCCCCAAATTTCTGACCTTGTCTGAAGGAAGTAGGGAGAGAGACTGAAGTTGACAAATGACGCCCTCTCTTTGTTTCTGGGGACCAAAGACAATGATTTTGGTTTTGTCTACATTTAGCTGGAGGAAATTATTTTGCATCCAGTCACTGATCTGTTGGATACAGTGAAGGAGCAAATCCAGTGGTCCATGTTCTCCTGCAGTCAGTGAGACATAGATCTGAGTGTCGTCGGCGTAATTGTGGTAGGACACTTTGTTTCTTTGTATTAACTGACCTAACGGCAGCATGTAGAGATTAAATAGGAGAGGTCCCAGGATCGACCCCTGTGGTACTCCACAGGTCAGGGCCACATGATCTGAGACGCAGTCTCCAATCTCCACAAAGTACTTCATATCCTCCAGGTAAGACCTAAACAGGTCTAGGGCTGTGCCAGTGACACCAACCCAGTCCTCCAGTCTCTGCATGAGGATCTCATGGTCGACAGTGTCGAACGCGGCACTAAGATCTAACATGACCAAAACTGTGACTTTACCTGCATCAGTGTGAAGTCGAATGTCGTTTGTTACCTTCACTAGAGCGGTCTCAGTGCTGTGGTGGGGTCTAAACCCAGACTGGAACATATCAAAAGAATTATTCATTGTTAAAAATTCAGTAAGTTGTTGGGAGGCCACTTTTTCAAGAATTTTTCCAATGAATGGCAGATTCGATATGGGGCGATAATTTTGAAGTCCCGCAGGATCCCGACTGCTCTTTTTAGGAGAGGTCTTATGACTGCTGTTTTTAGGGCCATAGGAAATGTTCCTGACGACAGAGACATGTTTACTATTTGTGTCAGTGAAGGTAACAAACTGCTCAGGACGGACTTCAGAAATTTAGAGGGCAATATATCCAGGCTACATGTGGAGGAGCTCAGACTCATGATTATCTTTTTGACAGTTTCAGTATCCACAGGTGCAAAGTGAGTTAGCTCAAAAAGCTTCTCTGGCTGTTGCATTGTTATACGTGCTGTGGAGGTGATAGTGTTTTTGATTCCTTGTACTTTGTCATCGAAAAACTGTGCGAACTCATTACACCTAGATTTAGAGGAAAATTCTAGGGGCAACTTTACAGGGGGGTTCGTTAATCTACCAACTGTTGAAAACATAACACGAAAATTGTTACTGCAACCTCCGTTAAAGTCAGAAAAATACATTTCTCTTGTTCTACGTAGAACCCGGTTAAATTCACCCAACTCATCTTTAAAGATTTCATAATCGCCCTGGAAATTCGCCACTTCCGTTCGGCCCTCCGGCACTCTTGCTTCTGTGCCCTGACCGAGTCTGCCTTAGTCCATGGGGCCTTTTTCTTACTGGTAACTATTTTAACCGTCACAGGAGCAATGGCGTCCAGAACAGTCAGAACACTGGTGGTGACAGAGTTATACAATTCATCAACAGTAGAGCATGGAGTTTTCTCAAAATTTAGCATTCCCATGAACAGTTCACTTGTGTTTTCATGTATGTGTCTTCTTCTAACAATTGTAAATTCAGCTGGTGGTTTGCTAGCAAAACACATGTCAAAAAATACACAGAAAT